TACAAACACAGAGCCACAGAGCCTTGTGGGGTGTGTGTGTGTGTGTCAGGTTCCCAGTGGGGGCAGCAGCCAATGGGTGTAAAATTTGCACCAGCTGACTTTCTGATTTTCCCGCTCTGCAAAGCATCCTCCTGCCACCTTGCCTGCTGAAGGAATGAGCTTTAGAAGGGGATAGTCCAGGGTTCTAACCCTAGGTCTGCTGAGTCCCTGTCTGGTTGGGACAGCACGAACTTCCTGGTCTGTAAAATGGGGATGAGTCTACTGTCCCCACTGCAGTGCTAAGAGGACTTCTCTCTTAATGGACCAGCTTCACAACAGCTAAGTTTGATCGTTAATGGGTTTGCTGAACCCCAACCTCCCGCCCCCCAGCCCCTTTTCTACCTCCTGAGCACACCACAGAACACAGCCCCGCTTGCTCCCTTTGGTTAAAAAAACCCCGCCGTGGAGGGGCGGCAGGTGGGCTGCTGATTTCCTGAGTCGACTTGTCTCCCAATGAAAAGCCTGCCGCTGAGTCTGAGCTGATGAAAGGGCGCAGAGCCACAATAACCACGGCCGTGCAAGAGACAGAAGAGTCAGGGAGGGATCATCAAAATCAGACGCTGCTGCTCACCTCCCCCCCACACCCCGCTAATACCAACAAGGGAAAGAAAAGCTCTTTGCAGAGTAACATTGCACAGGGCAAGCCCGCCTGACTTCAGTGGCGTTTGCACCTCATTTTACACCAGGGAGTGAATCAGGTCCATCGACTCCAGAGAGTTTAGCCTCAGGGCCAGTCGATCTTTGGATTTACTTTGCACCGGGCCCGTGCATCCGTGCAAGTTGGTGCTTACTCCAGTGCAACCCGCCCTGGTGAACTTACCAGTGCAAGCGCCGTTTTGCACCAGCACATTAGGGGAGCTGCGCTGGTGCCCCGCCTCCAGGGAGTTACGGCAACACAAGTTTTCCCAGTTTAGACAAGCCCACAGCAAATAAAACTAAGGAAGGGGTCTCCAGCTGTGGCTGTCAGATTGCAGTCGTGTTCTCACGGAGTAGAGCACACTATAGAAGTAACAGGGACTGTCTCACGCCCTGTGGAGGGATGGGTCCAGCACCAGATTTGCCCCAGACGCCTGTTGAAAAGAAAATTACTGCAGCGATGGGTCAACCCACGGTGGTGACGCTCCAAGGAGCCGGGTTTGGGACAGAGGCCCGGTTCCCTCAAAGGTATTTAGGCACCTAACTCTCACTGATTTCAACAGGCATCTAAACATCTGGACCTGATCCATGTCCAATGAAACCATGGCTCCAGCAGATGCCAGATCAGCCCCTCGAACTGTAGTGTGTGTGTGTGAGCAAGAGACAGATGGGTCCAAATGATTTCCCACAGCACCTGCTGCCAATGGGGAGCAGCTGCTCCAGAGCTTTCACCTTCCAACACACACACACTTCCTGTGGGCCATTCGGAGAGGATTTAAGTATCTTCCAAAAGGGAAGGAGCTAACTGTTAAGCACCCCAATTCAGCGTGAGCACAGATATATATACACACACACACTCCCCCTCTCCCTCCAGAAGTTACCCCAAACTCAGAGGTCTTAGTCAACATCAGACCATGAGCACAGAATATTGTAGCTCTTTCTCGTAAGGGCATGACCTGCCTCGGCAGAAGTCTGCATTAAAAGACAGCCACACTCCATGCCCAGCCAGACTTGTTTCATGGTTGTATTTGGGCAACAGCTGATTTCAAGGAGCAGCCATGGGACACTCAGGTTGGATCCACGGGCAACCCCACAAATTCAAGCCTAGCTGAGTGACCGTCATGGAACACCCAGCAGATCTCTCTTCCTCCCCAAAATTCACAGCGCTGGGGAGGTAATGGGCTTCCCTTCACTCTGAAACCCCAATGGAACCCGATTCTTTGCTATTCAGATTGCAATCAGCCCAGTTTTGGGTGGATCTCAATTTGGCAGTATCCAGATGAAAGGGGCCTGACTTTCACTCAGCACGGAGCCAACCCCGGCTCCGAGAGAATGAAGCCCCCTTTCAGGGGTTGCAAGTGAGGCACACAATCTTTAGCTACTTTCGAAAATCCTGGTCTACACATTCACACAGCACTGTTACAGAAGAAGGATCTCAAAGCACTATTAAAACCAACCAGCTTCACAGACTAGGTGCCGCAATTCTGCTCCCACTGAAGTCAATGGCAAGACTCCAATCTAGTGCCAGGGCAGCAGGACTGGGCCCTCTCTACATGTGAATCATTTTAAGCCCCTCTGGAATGCAGCCACCTCTGGGCAGTGTTTGTTTAAACACCCCACAGCAACAGATTAATTTAACTCATCATACTCGATGTAGTGAAAGGCTCAGAGGGGTGGAATTAACTACGTGAATGCATCCAATGTGCAGTTAAAACTTGTTTGGAAGGGGTTTACTTCTGGGTTCAGGGGAAAGAGGAAGCTATTTCTTCTGGTGATATTTTAGTAGGTTTCTATATGACCCCAGCAGTGGAAAAAAAAAAATCTCAGATGCTGAAAACCTATCAAATATGTTCCACCCCCAATCTGAATTTAAATTTCCAGAGGAGCCGAGTCACTGGGGTTTGCAGGCAGAGAAAGGAATTGAGAGAGTACTAGCCAGGGTTTTTCTAGCTCCTGGTGCTTTTGGATATATCGGGTTGGTATTTCTCTTTTTTCCTTCCCCTTCCCTTGATAGTGATGGTATGTAACTGAATCGCCCTGAGTGCTTCGCAGAGGGCATGCTCCACAGGATCGTAGGCCTGGAAGCCTGCGTGGGAAATGAACCGGCCTTAACACGTTTAGACTTTCAACACATTAAGCAGGTTGGTTTGGGCATCAAAGTGACACCGTCTGTCTGGGCCAAAGAAAGAAAGAAAAAGCTGATAGGTGCAGAGACCTCCTGGGTGGAAAGGAGATGCCCCATCACAGCAGCAGCCAAATCCACCAAATCAGGTCTGCGTTTTAGCCATTTCCAAAGCTCTGTTTTGCCCTGATTTGCAGGGGCAGCTCCAGCTTTTAAGAAGTTATTAAAAAGCATCTTATAAAATGCATTAACCCCGGCAGAGGACGCGAGAAAGCACCTAAAAGGGAGGCAGGTTAGGTTAAAAAGAAGGGGCCAGATCCCCCGCTGGTGCAAATCGGCATGGCCAGAGAGTAGTCGATGGAGCTTGGCCAATTGACACCAGCCGGGGGGGGGGGGGGGGGAAATCTGGTCCAGCATGTGTGTGTCCGCCTGTTAAACTGACACTGAAATAGGACTGTCTCCTAAGAAGCAGACTGCCGCTTAAAGAACAAATGCAACACCGCTCCCAGGCCCCAAGCTGAGAGTGCTGAACACCTTCCAGGACTAGGCCCTGATTTTGTAGTACCTCTTCCCTGCAGAAGTAACACAGGCAGACTGTGATCTGCGATGGCGTTGTAAGCACAGACAGCCCGAGGTGAAACAAGCCTGACACCTTACAGGCCCTACACCCGCTGAATCAGAACAGTAGGACTGGAAGGGACCTCCAGAGGCCATCTAGTCCCGTCCCCTGCACTCATGGCTGGGCTGTATTACATGAAATCAGAGGCTCTCTGGCCCCTGGGCTTCAGGGGCAGGCAGATGGGGCAAACCGTCCCCATCTGCAGCGTGGGGGAGTCTATGACATGGTGGGGGCTGCTGAGGTGGGACGTTTGTCCAGGGCTTGGAGACGACTGGGCCAAAGGCGGGCATTCATTAAGCCACTTCCTGGCACTTCAGGGTTCCGATTCTCTGCTGGCCTGAGGCCACTGAAGTCAGAGGAGTTACGCCACCAGAGCCCTGGGCCCTGGGTTGTCATCATCGTGATCATTAAAGGTCCATTTCGAGCTGACAAGCCTGGGAAAGGAGGATATGATTTTACTGTCCACTAAAACCCTGGATTCCTGTGACTCTCACCACGTACTGCCTGGGGACCCCCTGGCACCGATTCAAACGGTTTCTCTCGGCTTGTTGAACTAGCTGGCACGCTATCTGAGCGAGCCTGCCACAGTCCAGAGGTTCAGAACCTGCCCAGCCACTCTTGGGCAGACTTGGCACCAGGCCCCCAAAGACCCTGAGAGTCCCTGGCCCGAGAGTGTCCAGCGGGCACCAGCGGCTGAGACCTGCTGGGCACCCAAGCAGAAATACAGGATGTGAGGCGGGAGACCTGCTCAGATGGCCAGGCGGACAGCAGTTGGCTTGGAGCCCTCACTGGCAGAAAGACAAGAGATTAGGGAGAGAAAGCCAGTGTGTGTGGAAGATCAAAGTAATTCTACACACCCTTGTCAGGGCCAGAGTTTGGTCTCAGTTACACCAGTGAAAACACAGAGCAACCCCCAGGCACTTCGCTTATTACTCGCGTTACTCTAGAAGCTATGAGACTTAGAGCCCAGGAGGCCATCCTGCCCGGCGCTGTACAAACACAGCGCAAGACCCCGGCTTTGCACCGGAGGGGCTGAGATCCGGCCCTGGGGCCCTGCTGCTGTCCCTGCAGAGGCGCGTTACGCCCTGGCCGCCGGGCCGCTTTGGCATTTCCGTCGCCCAGAAGGATTTACCGACCCGGCCGGTGTCAAAGAGCCGAGAGCGCCGAAGACAACTCCCGGCACTCGTCTTTTGCAGACCCCCAGCGAGCCAGACCCCGCCCCGGGACCCGCGCCCTACACCCCCTTAGCCCGGTGTCCCACTCGGGCAGGTAGGTGCGGGGCGCACGGCGGGGATCGGGGAGTTCTGGCTCTCTTCAGGGAAGTTTTAGGACTTGGATGGGGGAGCTAGAAATGGGACCGCATTAGGGGGAGGCGATGCGGGGGCTCCAGGTCTTCCCCGCCCCCGCCACTACATTTGGGGGAGTCCCAATCTCCCCAACCCCACTACTCCATCAGACTCCCCCCCCCCCCGCCCTTGTAGGGGGGTACCCGTCCCCCCTCCGTCTGTACCAAGCCCAGTTCTCCCCCCCTCACCCACACACAGTCCGGAGGGGCCCAGACCCCCCCCCCCGCCCCGGCCTTACCTGCCCTGCTTGGTGATGATCATCTCGGTCTGGTGTTTGTGGAACTTGGCCCAGAGCGGGTAGTTGTTGAGCATCACCTGGACCTTGCCGGAGAGCTGGTAGCCCGGCAGCGGGTAGAGCGGGCCCCGGGGGAACACGTGCTGCACCGCGCCCGGGTAGCAGCCTTCCCCCGCCGCCGGGCTCGGGTAGAGCTCGCCGCCGCCCGGGTAGAGCTCGCCGGGAGGCAGCGCGAAGCCGTGGCTGCCCGGCTGGGCGGCGGCGGGCGGCGGCTGGGGTCCGTAGGCGGCGCAGCTGTTCAGGGCCGGGCTCAGGAAGCGGCCGGTGGCCGCCCGGGCGGTGGCCGGGCTGCTCACCCCGAAGCCCCCGGGGACCGTCGGGGCGCTGTAGGGCAGGCTCAGCGGGCAGCCCTCCGGAGCCGGGGCGTCGGGGAAGTAGAACCGCTCCTGCAAGCCCATCTTCAGCTCGCCCGGCTCCTTGGGCCCCTGCGGATCCAGCGGCTCCTTGGCAAAACTTTGGCTCTGGGTCCCATTCAGCATGGTGAGCGCGGGGCTGCTGGCTCCGGAGGCTGGGTCCAGGGCTCCCATCGACTTGCCAAGCGAGGCGGGGTGGGAGTGGGCAGGGGAGGTAGGTGTGCGCGTGGGTGGGGGGGGGGGAGATCAGCCCCCTCCCCTCCCTCAGCAACTCATCAGGGTTGTGCAAAGAGGGGGAGGAAAAAAAAAAGAGAGAGACCCCCCCCTCCCAAAAAAATCTTTGCAGCGCTCGCCCCACAAGTCCCAGCCCCACTTCAGCGGCGGCTGAGTCGGCTTCACACGCAGCCCCGGGGCTCCATCGCCGGGCCGGACACGCCAGGAGCAAAGGCAGAAGGAAACCCCCCCCCTCCCGCCCCCAGGTCGGTTTGCACAAAATCCTCCTAACTAAAGATCCCAGGCAGGACCCGCTCGCTTCCAGGGGGCGGGGGGAGGGCCCCCCCTCACACCTCTTCTCTTTCCAAGGGCAACGCGAAGGGGGAGGGGGGGGATTTCCCCCCACTCCTGGGAGCTGCCTGGTCTGCCCCGCTCTGTCACTCCACCTGCCCCATCCTCTGCCTCCGAGAGCCGCTCAAAGCTCCCTCTTATAAAAAGCAGCCGAGCCACTGGGGCTGCGAGGCTCCGCCTCCTGCTGCCTGCTGGCCACGCCCCCCTTGGAGGGGGAGGGGGTGCCAGAGATTCGTTCCCTTCCCTCTTTAAAGCTACAGGCACCTCCCATTCTGAAGAGGGAGTTGAGATGGGGGGGAGAAAAGGACACCCCCCAGCGGGGGGGCAGGGATAGCTCAGTGGTTTGAGCATTGGCCTGCTAAACCCAGGGTTCTGAGTTCAATCCTTGGGGGGGGGGGGGAGTTGGGGATTGGGGACCCTGATAGTCTCTAAAAGGCGAACTTAGGGCCACGATCCTGCCAGCACAGATGCATGTGCTTCACTTTAAGTAGCACAGAAGATCAGGGTGTTGGAAGGACCTCAGGAGGTGATCTAGTCCAACACACACACCCCCCGCCACAAAGCAGGACCAATCCCCAACTTAAATCATCCCAGCCAGGGCTTTGGAAGGAGGTTCACCACCTCCCTAGGCAGCGTTGTTGTAGCTGGGATGGTCCCAGGATCTAGTCCAACACACACACCCCCCGCCACAAAGCAGGACCAATCCCCAACTTAAATCATCCCAGCCAGGGCTTTGGAAGGAGGTTCACCACCTCCCTAGGCAGCGTTGTTGTAGCTGGGATGGTCCCAGGACCTCAGCGAGGCCTCACCCACCTTGTCTTGCACGCCAACTAGGCAGCTGCCTAAGGCTGCAGATTTGGCCCAGCTGCCTCTCCCCCTCCCCCATCATGGCAGGGCAGCTAGGCCAATCACTAAAATTTGGCCCGTCCACCCCTCCATCATGAGGAGTGGGCGGCTGGGGCCAATCTGCGGCTTTAAGCCTGTGGGGGAGGTGGAGTTTTGCCCAGGGCAGCAGATTGTCTTGAGCAGCCTCTGGTCCCCATGAAGCCAGCGGAATCACACTCATGGTTGCAGGGTCAGACTGTCACTTAGTAAGGGGTCAGTCCACTGCAGCTGCACCAGGTTTGGGTTTGATTCTATAATCAGGGCTATGCTGTTTAGCCGTTGTTATTTCACTTGCTTCAGAGTGAGATGGGCACATCCCAGATGTTTATAATCATCAGTTTGCTCCCCCCATTTTCCCTCTTTTGGTTTTCCGATCTCCCCACCCTCAAAAGGTCCTGCCCATTAATGCTTAGAACATCCTCTGAAATTTTGCAAATGATTGGCTGTAGCATTCAAAAGTTAACATGTCACAGACGGACGGAGAAATGCCTTCCTGTTGATTGGAAGCCCTTTGCAAGCTCGGCCAGTGGGATATCTTGCCTAACATAGCTATGCTGTCTGTAGTGCAGACAGTCTAACAGAGGTAGGCCCCCAAATCTCATTGGAATTGGGCACCTCATTTTGGAAATCCCAGCCCATGGCTCCAACCCTGCAAACACTTACGCCCACGCTTTACTTTATGCCGGCAGGTTGATGTCAGTCCTGTGTGCAAAGTTAAGCAACTGCAGAAATATTTGTCGGATCAGGGCCTTGTTTGCTTATTTCAGGGTGCTGAGCACCTGTGCTGAGCTCTAGCTGCTTCACAGACCCCACATTTGCATGGATCTGATTGCAGGATCAGGACCCAATTGTTCCCCTAGGATAATCACCCCCCAGTCTGTGGGGCTGAGCTGGGGGAGGGGAAAGGTGTCTTCCAAGCTCCTCCCCAAAAATAAACTGCACCCACGAGTCACCAAAATGAGACACTGCTCACTGTAGAGGTTTGAAATATGATGGGGTAGCACTTTTGGCTTGTTGCATTTGGTTCATGGAATCACAGAATCTCAGGGTTGGAAGGGACCTCAGGAGCTTCACCTAGTCCAACCCCCTGCTCAAAGCATGACCAACCCCCAATTTTTGCCCCCCATCCCTAAATGGCCCCCTCAAGGATTGAACTCACTACCCTGGGTTTAGCAGGCCAATGCTCAAACCACTGAGCTCTCCCCCCCCCAAGGGTTCCTTCCTGAGTGGGGGGTATCCCCAAACGTCACCGCTTGAGACCTCAAAATCCCACCCAGCAGATTGGGCTGTTCTGTGACCCTCCCTCTCCTTTTCCACGAAATAGATAACACTGCTAACATTGAAATGATCACCCCAGTTAACTCCTCCTTGAGATGAATGGGGGAGTTAGCCTCTCTCCAAGCTACTGGCCCTGGCTCTCTGCAGGCTTGCATAGATGTCTTGGCAGCGGTTACTCATGGGTCACAGCTGAGGTTTCCTTTGCAACTATGACAGCTTGAGACTTTTTTTTTTAAGTGAAAGATAGATTCCGGGGAAGAAGATAGTATCTTCAAAGAGGTGCCAGGATGTTGTATGGCCAAATACTAGCCCTGTTATCATGGTCAGTGGAACTGGAGTCAGAGGATCCAGGTTCCCTGGAGGAACCATCATTGAGGGGAGTCCAGGGGAAAGAGGAAATGGGGGATGTGGGCAATGGAGACAACTCAGCCATGTGGATGGAGCAGTATTCAGAGTCCCAACTTGTTCAACTGAACCCGTGGTCAGTTTCACCCTTTGCAAATGAAACAGCTCAATCTAAGCCCTGCATCAAGAGAACAGCAAAAATAAATCTCATTAAATAGTAATACCCCCTGTAATAAAGATGATGGTCATGATAAAGAGGTGAGGGAGGGTGTTGGATTTTCCAGGGATTTTAGAGGCCTGGGATCCAAACTTAAGACACTGAAAACATGTATTATATATTTGTTTTGTCATACTGCCAAGGAACCCCAGTTATGGATCTGGGCCGTGTGATGCCAGGCGCTGTACAAACACAAAGCAAAAAGATTGTCCCTGCTCCGACGAACTTACAATCGAAGTATTAGACAAGAGACAACAGGTGGATACAGACCCACGGGGGAGTACAATGAGACAGTATCGGTCAGCGTAATAGGCCCATTTTACGCATGCAAGTAAATCAGCACACTTCACTGACTTCAGTGGGCTTACTGGCATGAATAAAGCTACTGGCAACACATTTGTAGCGTTTGTGGGACCATGCTCTAGAGTTTCAGGGTAATTTGCATCCAATAAAAGTTTTGTTACTTTGCACGATCTTTAAATAGTATTTTTCCAAGGAGGGGGTAAAAAATGCCAGGATAGAAAAAGAACTTGCTTTAAAAAGCATAGGCAGGGGGAGAGTTGCTTGTTTTACAATTTCAGAGCAGCAGCCGAGTTAGTCTGTATCCGCAAAAAGAACAGGAGGACTTGTGGCACCTTAAAGATGAACACATTTATTTGAGCCTAAGCTTTCGTGAGCTCCAGAAATACGGAATGCATCCGATGAAGTGAGCTGTAGCTCACAAAAGCTCATGCTCAAATAAATTGGTTAGTCTCTAAGGTGCCACAAGTCCTCCTTTTCTTTTTGTTTTACAATATTTTCAGTTCTTTTATTTTTGTTTCTGCTTTTGCCCCCCATAAATCTGTGGTTTGGGGCCATGATCCTGTAGTCCTTGAGCTAGGACTACCTGTATGAATAAGGGTATGAGCTAGGTCTACCTGGGTGGGAAGATTTGTGCTGGTGGGATCACAAGGACAGTCCCTTTTCTTTTTGCGAATACAGACTAACACGGCTGTTACTCTGAAACCTGTCATTGATTTAATTGATACTGCTGGTTTGAGGAACAAAGGGTTAACCAGGTGAGTCAGGGTTCAGGGCATCCAGTACTCCTGTGATAGGTTTCAGAGTAGAAGCCCTGTTAGTCTGTATCTGCAAAAAGAAAAGGAGGACTTGTGGCACCTTAGAGACTAACCAATTTATTTGAGCATGAGCTTTCGTGAGCTACAGCTCACTTCATCACTCCTGTGATGAAAGCCATACAAGGATAGATAGATAGATAGATTAGATAGATAGAACAGGGCTATTAAAAGGACACTTTGAACATAAACCTCGTACAATCAAAAAGCAAATTTTAGCCCCATGGTACTTTGAAATATTGCAACTGAAATAATTGTACAAATAAAATTTCCTTTCCACCATTTGACTTGTACATTTCCCTCAATTTGGATATTGAACCTCGTCTAGTCACTTGAATTTTTTTCTTGTCACTTTCACCTTCCAGTTGTAAAGCGTTATGCTATGTACTGCTCGACACTAATTATTAATCCATTATTATTATTCCTCACGACACCTACCCCCCACTAGCAGAAAGGTCTAAACATTAACATCAACATAACGGTGACACCGCAGGGAAATGCGTCAAGCGAAGCAGCAAAAAACATGCATCCCCGTTCTTAGTGAAATTTCAAAAATCAAACTCCGAAGCATTTTCAGAATCAAAAAATAAAAAATCAGAACCGGACGCATTTTCTATTTATATCCAGGGTTTGTAACTGCAGCAAGCCTGAAATGTCGAGCCTAAAATTCCTTGACAGCACCTTTTCAAAATGTTCATTTGGAAGGTAGAAGGAAAAAAAATAAACTTCCGCTAGTGTTGAAAAAAAACCACGGTGAGATTTAACACCAGGGGCAGACAAATCAACTCCCCACAAATCCGTGGGCCTGATTCGGTTCTCATTTACACAGGAGCAACTCCACTGAAGGACATTTGAATGACAGTGGCAATGAGAGGCACAGGGCTTCAAAGAAAGTGCTGAAAGCCAGAGGAGCGCCCCGCTTCCGGACAGAAAGTCAAACTCATTTCAGGCTAAAGCGAATGTGCCCGGGTGGGAAGTTTGCGCTGACATGGAAGGAGGGGTGAGGCTGGGAGGGAGCATCCTGGGAGAAATGTCTGAGGTCAACAAGATGTTTAGTTTTTGTTTATCTCCCAGGCAGAGGGTCCTGGAGTGCCCGTCCAAGCTCTGTGCCACGCGTACTGGGATCCATTAAGTGCAGCTGCAGGCCATGCAGAGAGGATGTTGCTTTTAACACTTTTATATGTTCAGGTTTTCTTCTCTGCTGTGGTGGGTGTTTTTTTTTAGAATGCTCAAGAAACCTGAAAAATCCAGTG